GAGATGGGACTGACGTCGAGGAGGGCCGCCACGCGGGGGATAAGGTTCTGGGGTGAAATAAAAAGATTTAGAAATGGAAAATAGAAAAATAGAAAGTTCTCGAACCTTGCCCACCGAGCTGGCGCCCGAGAGGATGTGCGAGTAGTTGAACTGCTTCTGCGCGTCGAGGACGATGCCGGTCAGAACCTCGGGCAGCGCCCCCTTCAGCGCCTCGCTCTCCACCGTGAGGATCCGCCCGACGCCCTCCACCTGCGCCAGCGTCTCCACCGCCGGGCCGACCTNCCCCCTTCAGCGCCTCGCTCTCCACCGTGAGGATCCGCCCGACGCCCTCCACCTGCGCCAGCGTCTCCACCGCCGGGCCGACCTTCGTGCCCGCCACCAGACAGGTGATCGGGTGGCCGATCTGCTTCGCCGCCGTAATGGCATTCAGCGTGATCGGCAGCAGCTTCTCATCGTTCGCGTCGGCAATCACCAGGGTGCTGTTCAGGCGGACGGCTCCCTAAAGAGGTGAACAAGTAATATGGTTAGGTCCGCGTGAACTTGTAATTTAGAACAGCAGTTTCCGATACATTACCGCTTTCAGGGCGCTGGTGGTGAGCTTCGAGGCGGCGAGGATCGACGAGCGAATCATGGTTGTTCTATTTTGTAGGCTGTTTTGTTTACTGTTTGTTGTTGGAACACTGGGTAGAAGGTGGTAATCGTGGTGGCTAAAGTGCCAAGGTGATGGTGACGATCTCTCTGCCTGTTTGCTGTTCTCTTCTTGAAGCCGAAGACTGGTGAGTGGTGAGCGGCAGACGATAACTCTCAGTTTTGGTGGTGATGGTAAGAAGAGAAGAGAGAAAATAACAAATGTACCTGCAGGCTGCGGCGGCGAAAGCTGCGGAAGCATTGCCCACCAGAGGACACTCTGCCTTCCCGGGAAAGTTTTCAATGTGATATTCTTTTCTGTTGTTGTGGTCGCTTTTCTTTTCTGGTCTGTCTGATGCAAGAACTCTAGAACTCTTCTGGTCAATCTCAACTTCTCTTACATCGAAGAATCGTAATCACTCACTTGATCAGCATCATGTCCATCGCCAGGCACTTTGTCCTGCTCGCCGGCCGCAGACCGGCGGAGCTGCTTTTCCAGCCATCAAAGTCGACCACTGGCCGGCGGATGATTGCTTCGACGTTATTCGCTCACCAGGGCCCCTCCTCACCTTCATCCTCCTCTTCATCAATTCACACTTCGGCCACTCGATGTGAGTCAGAGCTGGGGAAGCTGCGCAAGAAGACGGGGTAAGCGGCTTGAAGCTGTTCATGTTTTTGGGTTCTATTTCTCTTCCTTTTTCTTCTCCTTATTACCAGCTACGCCTTTGCCCTCTGTCGCAAGGCGCTGGAGATGCACCAGCAGGACCTGGCCAAGGCGGAGAAGTGGCTGCGGGCGGAGGCGCTGAAGCAGGGCTGGGAGAAGGCGGAACGGGTCAAGGTGAGAAGGTAGAAAAAAAATTCTAAAACTTCTTTTCTAACTTCAATTTCTATTTCCCTCCCCATTAGTCTCGCTCCACCGGCGAGGGCCTCGTCGGCATCTACACCTCCCCGGACCGCCGCACCGCCGCCATGGTGGAGGTCCGCTGCGAGACGGACTTTGTCGCCCGCAACCAGCACTTCGTCGGCCTGGTGACCGCCCTGGCGGAGCGCCTCTCCAACTTCAGCTCCGGAGCGGCCCGGGACGCCCGCGACCGCGGCAGCTGCATCCACAAGCGGTGGATCGTCGACGAGGGCAAGCTGGTGGAGCTGGCCGGCTCGTCGATCACCGAGGCGATCAGCAAGCTGGGCGAGAACATCCGCTTCGTCCGCGGCTGCATCGTCCACATTCAGGGCGAGGAGGAAGATCAAAAGACGTCAACATCATCGAACCAGGTACGACTGCTGCCGTACACGCACGCCGTCGCCGGCAAGGTCGCCTCCGCCAATCCGAACGTCATCCTCGGCAAGTACGGCACCATCATTGCCATTCAGAAGCAGCAGCAGCGTAAGTTGTTGAGATGTTGTGTCAAAAAATCTGTCTTATAACTCCTCTCCTCTTTTTAGAATCGAACCAGGCGGTGGACGCCGAGACGGAGCAGTCGCAGGTGGAGGACGGCCTCAAGTCGAACTCCATCGAGGAGGTCGGCTCCAAGCTCGGCCAGCACATCATCGGCCTGACGCCGCTCACGGTGACGCCCCCGCCCCCGCCGCCGCCCTCATCTGAGTCAGCCTCGTTTGAGGAGGCCACCGAGGAGGAGATCACCGGGGAGGAGGAGCCGACGGCGCTTCTGAAGCAGAAGTTCATCTTCAACGACGAGATCACCGTGGAGCAGTTTCTCGCCAACTCGGATGCCGCCGTGCTGGACTTTGTGCGCTTTGAGTGCGGAGAGGAGGGGGCGGACAGCTAAAAAGCTCATCTCAAGTCAAAACAGCAACAAAAGCATCCTCTTCTGTGATTAGATCCGCTGAGAGAAGTGGAGTAGTAAATTTTATATAGAGCATGGGCAATCCTCCTGCAGATTACGTTTGTATTTTACCAATTTGTGTATAAATAAAGGAGAGAACTTGTGTGTGTGGAACTCATCACAGCGTTCTCGGAGTTTCAGTTACCAATATAGAAGCAGTAGAGTGATCCTCGATTCACCACCCCTATCATCATCACCATCATCAGTTGTCCTCCAGGTCGAGGTTGATGTTGGCGCCGAACTTGGCGTACAGCTTCGCCTTGATGGTGCTCATCTCCTCCTTCATGGGGGCGATCCGCGCCTCCAGCTCCCGCACCTCGGCGTCCAGCTCCTTCTGCTTTGCCTCGAGCATCCTCTCCGCCTCCTCCTTGCTCACCGCGATGAAGCCCTCGCCGATGCGGAAGTGAATGTTGGAGAGGTCGCGCACCTTGCCC